TCCACCCCAGATACACTGTGTATTAAGACATTTTTCAACATTCAAAACGTTTGTTCACTATTCAGGATTATTTGTAATGACAAATGCTGATTTTACATTCTCCTTCAGAATGGACACGAATTAGACTGTTGGTACAAAACCTAATGAATTCTTCAACAATCCGTGTCACGAGCTTCAGGAATCATCAACAAGACTAACTGCGCTTCCTGCAGACTTTCACACAGTTACAACTGAAACGACCCCGTTAAAAGTACAAAATTAATCATATCGCTTCCAGCTTAGTCTCATGTACATCGACGTAAATCCGCTGCGACTGGTATTACTGCTACTATAACGCGCATTGTATACGCTCGACGTTAAGTTTGATACACTCAGCATAAAGTAACAAGTTAACCCTTCAAATAACGGCGTTGTGCGTGGCAGATAAACTTTAGTGGTTCTATCCTATGTCCCATATCCAAGTGCAGAAACCAAAAATGACAGCAGACATTTAAGTATGAGTAAGAATTCTTTTACTGTCATCACTGACACTAAAGGAAGCTTGTTTCCTAACAAATGCAATATAAAAACAATATATTGCTTTCGCATTGCGTCACGCCCCCCCCAACAAACCACTCTTTGAAAGCTTCGTCCACAAATATCTAAAACTTTCAAGTTCGTAGAGCCTAGCCGGCTGACACTCGACCCTGACCGTACGAAGTGCGACCGATGAAATCTAAATAAGCGTCAATCATCGGCACATGCAAGCGTTGTACCACACTTGTGCATAAATAGCATTAAATGACAGTAAGTTTAACAGGGAAAACATTCACGTAAGAAAATGCAACGCTTGCAACACCTTAAAGCGACTATTCTCCGCACATTTCAGGCTTCAACATCAGTCGAAAAATAATGACGGTAAAGACGTTGGCTGCTAATTAGCAAGAAATCTTACGTTATAGTGAATCTCTGACGCAACAGTCAGCGAATCTTCGTCAGAATACTTGCAACAATACTACATGTACGCCTTACCTTCGTATTCAGAGAAGCTTCAGTTTGTAAGGCTACCAGAGCAAACGATCTGCAAGTAAAGTGAATTGTAATTTTACCGTTATTACTCAAAAACGGACTAAAGAAATAATACTTTTCCGCTGTTTGTTTAATCATACAGTAAAGACAGGCTTAGCTTTAACTGACATTTATTTTGCTACTCACACGCAAAAAGAAATGGTTATGCCTAAATCCCCATTAGTTTCTTCAGGTACCAAAGAGACAGAAACATAGTCTAAAATAATAGACTGTTATCGATCTTCATGTCAAATATCACCGAGAAGTTGTTAAGTTTTATAATCATTTATCT